ACGGCGCCGATGACAGTGGTGACAGTGCTCGGCGCAAGGCAGAACACATCTCCCTGTCCGCCTTGAACGAGCTCGTGCGGCACATGCAAGAGCACCACGCCAAGCGGGCTCGTACCGAAGAATCGTCGCTTTAGCCGCAGATCGTGGGACTTCGTCACGGCCAATGTTTCGGGCAGGCTTGGTCTCGAATGTCTTCTCGAATCGCAACCAGTGCTCGAGTCAATAGCAGTGTGCGTCCAGGAGCATCACCTGGCGCAAGTAGAAGCATGGGAAGCCCGACTCCGCATGCCAGGATGGGCAGCTAAGGGGCTGCCAGCGGCCGTCACGGCTCGAGGTGGCGCTACGGGTGGTCTAATTCAGATGGTGCACAGACGCATCGGCATGGCAGAGCTTCCCGATCAAGAGTTCTGCATCGAGAAGGCCAGAGTCAGCATCTTGCATCTCTCAGCCGTCTGCCCAGGGGGTGTGCTCTGGGTCAACGCTTGCCTCCACGACTCGCAAGGCGTGTCGCAGCTGAATTGGCAGCTCCGCACCCGCATTGGTGGCATACTCTATCGATATGGGCTGCCCTACGTGGTCACGGGCGACTGGAACATCACCCCTCAGGAGCTGCAGGGCACGGGCTGGACGGAGTCGCTACAGGCCACGGTGCTAGCGCCCGTCATCCCCACCTGCGCCAGAGGTGAGACGCCACGTGTTCTGGACTTTTACGTGGTCTCGCACGGCCTGCACTACGACGCCGTCGTCAGTGTGCTCAACGGCGTGGGCACGCAGGGCCACAAGCCAGTCAAGCTCATGCTGCAGGGCCTGAAGCAGACCCCGCAGCTCCCGCACATCAGAGTGCCCAGGCAGTTCCCACGAGAATTGCCATCAGCTTGCTATCCGCCCGGCTAGCGCTGGGACCCCGTCCTGGCCCTCCTCCGTCGGCAGCCCGACGCCGAGGCAGCATGGAGACAGTTCGTTGCGGTCATGGAGCATGAGTTTCTCGAGATCTACCAGATTCCCGACGACGAGGCCGAGCGCTACATTGGACGTAGTGAGCCGCTGTCAGTGCAGAGCAGGCGCGCACCCGTGCCTCGCTCCCCCCTGTCCCCCCCGCACCTCTGCGCTCGCCGTCTGGTTCCGAGGGCTTGTACAGATCTTGGCCGATCCCGCCAAGTTTCAGACAGCCGACGACAGGGCCGCCACGCTTGCGGCAGCGCGACAGCAGGCCGCAGCCTCGGATCGGTTTCCTACCCGACATGTAGGCGCATGGCGCGCCCTGCTGCATGGTGCCAGATACATCGACTGGTCGCTCGCATCGACCCTGTGCTCTGAGGCCCGCGACCTGGCCACCGCCCTGCAGCGCGATGCCGAGCGCAAGCGGGACCAAGAATGGAAGACCTGGGCCCGCAAGCACAGCGACGCTGGAGGCGGCGCTTTACTTGCGGTCAGCAAGCCCCCGACCCCCTGGTACTCCAGCCCCTCCTTCAGCGCTGCTGGCGAGGCTAGACCTGCCCCAGCCTCCCTGCAGCAGGAGATGCAACTTTCAGTGGAGGAGTGGAGTTCGTTCTGGAGAGTGGGGGGTGGGGTGGGGTGGGGGGGGGGGGGGGGGGGGGGGGGGGAGGCCCCGCTCGATTGGCCAGCCGACATGGGGCCGCCGCTGCCAGACTTCTCGGTCGACGACCTCCGTGCCTGCATGAGGACGTTCAAGGCATCCTCAGGCGCAGGTTTCGACCAGATCAGACCTCGCCAGCTCCTCGACCTCTGTGACGACGGCCTCGCCCCCCTCCGCCTCCTCATCCTCCCCATCGAGAGCAAGCTGGCCTGGCCCAGCTGCTGGAGCAAACTCGTGTTTCTAACCAAGCGCACGGGCGGACTGCGTCCCATTGCGCTGCTGCACGTGCTAGCGCGCGCGCAGGCTCGCCTTCGCAGGCCCCTACTTCTGAAGTGGCAGCAGAGCAACTGTCGGAGCTTTTGGTGGTCGACGTCGGGGAGGGGGTCGGAGCGGCTCGTGTGGATCCAAGCTGCCTCTTCGGAATGGGCTGTCAGCCAGAAGTTGTGTGCAGGCACCGTCCTGCTCGATCTCCGCAAAGCGTTTGAAAGTGTCAGGCGCGACGTGCTGCTTGACGCTGCTCGGAAGACTGGCTTCCCTCTGAGGCAGCTTCGGCTGCTCATCGACCTGCATCGCTCGCCGCGTGTGCTCGGGTTTTCTGGCGTCAGCTCGCAGCCCATTGTCACCCAGCAGGCGGTGCTTGCTGGCTGCCAGTTCGCCACGCTTTGCCTGCCGATGGTGCTCCTCTGTCCGCTCGACACCGTCCAGGCAGCCTTCACCCCATGCACCCGTCAGGAAGTGCAGTTCGGAGTTGTTGTAGACGATTTCGGGCTGCACAAGGTTGGCTCACATCAATCAGTTAAAGGTGAGTTAGCCAGCGCCACCATCATGCTGCACCAAGAGTTAGAGAAGATCCACCTGCCAGTTCACAGGCAGAAGAGCAGAGTGCTCGCGTCCACCCCCAAG